GCCTGGCTTCTGACTAGCTGGGAGAATCTGGGCAAGCCCCTCCCCCATCTCTGGGCCACATCTTCTCCTTTTGAAAGACTTGATAGCACAGAAGCTGCCAGAAACTTTCTGCTGTCATGTCTCTCTCCCCTGTGATGCATGCACATACGCCCACCTGTGCACACCCCCTTCTCCACAAGTCACCTACCACCCCTTCACTTTGCTCCCTCCCCTGAAGGTTCTGTTCCCTGACGGCTGATTCCCCGCCTCTGAGCCTATGCACACCCCTCCTGTCCGGCCTAAACCGCTCTAACCCCAACCAGTCTCTTCATTTCACCTTGTTTGGTTCTTTTTTTTTTTTTTCCCCCCCCCCCTCACCTTGTTTGGTTCTTGACTCGAAACTCATCTCCTACAGAAAGTCCTGGATTGCTCCCCAGCTGTACCACCCCTGACACACGGTTTTACTCTTCAGCCACATTTCCCTGCAGAACTGGACTTAGGTCACCTCAGAGCAGTTAGATGGTGTGTCCCCCCAAATAAACACTCTTCAAGGAGAGGGGCTGGGTTTTCAAATCTTGAGCCTCCCCTCCCCCAGCCCTGCACAGTACCCAGGCTGTGGTGGGCATACAGGGGTATCAGGAGACCCTATAAGTGAAGTCTTGGTTCACCAGCTTTCTGCCAGGACCTACACAGCTGCTCTTCCTGAGCCAACATTTCTGAGAGGAGCAGGGAGACTTTGAAAAACTGGAAGAGGACCTTATCTCTCCAAGTAGTAATCACCCCATAAAACTTGTGTTTATTTGGTTGCTGGCAGGTCCCTCTTCCTGGAGGTAGGAAGCTGTTATTCTTGGAAATACCAGCCCAGGCTTGGGCCAGGGCACCCCGAGGCAAGAGGTGATCTTCCGAACTCCAGCATATCAGGGAGCCTGGAATGCATGAGGCAGGCCTGCAGGGGCCATGGTGTGGACCCCGGGGGGCCTGGCTTATGTTAGGGCAGTGGGGGGTGGGACGGAACACCTGCCTGGAGTTGTCACCCAGCCCCTGCCTGCGCTCTATCAGGAGAGACAGCCAATCTGTCCATGGCCTGACTTGCATATCTGCTAGATGCCAGGTACCCCAGGATATCTCTGATCTTAAGAGCAGATATGGGCCAGGCAGGGTTTGGAGGGTTTTGGCCATAGGTCCCAGGGACAGGCAGGAAAGGAGGGGGCAGGTCTAGCAGGAAGTCCCTAAAGATGAGACACTGGTTTGGGAGGTAATCACCAAAGGAAAGAAGCCCGTCTTCAGAGCTGCCAAGGCAGAGAGCGACCTCTCAGGGAATGGAGAAACTCAAAGCCGGCTGAGGAGGGAGTTCAGGGAAAGCCAGAGGCACTGAGGGATCCGGGCCACGGAGGTGGAGGGTTGAGGGGGGGTAGGCAGTGAGGAGGACAGGGAAGGAGACTGACCCTGGGACTATATAGGGCAGCAGGCGGATCCCAGAGGGGAGGCCACCGAAAGAGGGTATAGAGCAGCGTGCCTACTTCCAAAGCTTTCTTAGATGGATCTCTTTTGTTTTTACACAAAAAAGAAATCAGTTTCAGAAGAACAAAACAAAGAGATATTTTAATCTGCTAACTGGATTCAGGGGCCATCATCAGTGTTTGAAAATGCCCAGGGATTATGGTGATTTACAGCTCGGACAGGAATCTGCCGGGGCCTCGGCCTTATCCGAAGTACCAAGAGGAGCCTGCTGGGAGATCCAGATGCAACTGAAAATACTGCCTGAAAACCCATTTATAGTCCAAGAGGGGTAAAAGGGCCAGGCCCAGTGAGACCGCCTTGGCTGTGCCCCAAGGTGGGACCCATCAGATTTTGGAAGCCCCATCTCACCTAGCATGTCCCCTTTACCACCCCCTTCCCAGCCCTTCCTGGAACTTCTGGACCCAGCCTAAGCCCCCTTCTCCAAGAAGCCTTCCTGGCTCCAACCTCCCTCACTGACCTCAGCCTCCTCTGACTTACTGCCTCCCTCCATACTAAAACTGCTGGAGGTCTATTGGGGAAGGTACCGCTTTTGGCGTCAGAACACCCCGTTCAAATCCCAGCCCCACCACATCCCTACCTGGGCAAGCCAAGCCTTCCATGGGTCTCAATTTTCTTCTTGACAAATGGGGATGAAAAACACTCTGTCCAGGGCCAGCTGCTGAGGTTAAATGAGATAGCTGGATGGAAACCATCTCGGCAGATGGAAAGGATCCTATGACCACAGCACTAAACAATTTACTGTCTTCTCTTGTGTTATGCTCTGATTGTGTCTGGAGCGCTTGCTTTGTCTCCTTAATTTCCCAGTGAGGCTGGGCTATCCGTGAGCGAGGCTGGGTCTACCTCACTCCACTTTCCTTCGTCTAACAAGTTACCTGCGCTTCCCACCACTCTCCCCTACCGAGCTCCCAAATAAGCCTTGGTGTCCTCCACGCACCAGACACAAGGTTCTACTCTGGAGAGACATCCAGTGGGATAAGACATGGTTTCACCCTCAAAGCCTTTCCCCGTCTTGTGCAAGACCTATGGATGGACCAAAAAGCTCAGCCAATGCCTCAGTGCTGAGAGAAGCCCAGGCACCATGTGGTGGGACACAAGAGAGAAGAGAACTCAGCTCCAGAAGGCTTCAGGGAGGAGGTGGCTCTTCAGCTGGGCCTTAATGCCGGAGTGGGATTTTTGACCTTTGGGGACAGGAGGAAAAGGCATTCTTTGCTAGGAAAGGGGAAAGCGGGAATGCTGTCCCTACTTCCTTTACCCCCGTCCCAACAAGACTATAATTTTTTTTAAGAGGTGAGGTACTCTGTCTCCCACCATGTGGCCCAGCCCTGGGTGAAGTCACAGTGGTATTCACGACCTCTTTACAGATGAGAAGCCTGAGGCTCAGACAGAAGTGTCCAGGCTGGAGCATAGACTCAAGCTCTGGAACTCCAATGCCTGGAAGTGTGAGGCCCTAAGGATATCAGAGCAGCCGAAGGTGTTCACTTGAACTTTAAGTTAAGCTTCACCCTCTCCAGTATGGGTGGGGAAGACTGACGGTAGTTGAGGACCTACTGTGTGTTAGCTGCTTCACATAACTCAGCTCTTTAAGCCTCCAAAAGAACCCTGAGGGGCGCCTGGGTGGCTCAGTCGTTAAGCGTCTGCCTTCGGCTCAGGTCATGATCCCAGGGTCCTGGGATCGAGCCTCGCATCCGGCTCCCTGTTCGGTGGGAAGCCTGCTTCTCCCTCTCCCACTCCCCCTGATTGTGTTCCCTCTGTCTGTGTGTCTCTCTCTGTCAAATAAATAAAATCTTAAAAAAAAACAAAGAAACAAAGAAACAAAAACCCCTGAGAACAGTTATTTATTATTACCTACCCCTTTTTACAGATAAGGAAACTGAGGCCCCACAGCTATTACAGGGTGAGGCCAGGAGCCCACCTGGGGCATAACCACTGCCCTTTCTGCCTCCAGGAGGTAAGAGGCCCCACAGGAGCACCCATTTCACAGAGCGAAAGGAAAGCAGATCCTTCTCAGGCAGCCTGGGCTCCCTTCTTCACTCAGTAAGACTTGGAAGAGCCTGCTTTCAGGCTCTTAACTTGTCCACGTGAATGCAGAAACACTTGTATTGAGTTCAAAAACAGAAAGTTCCCAAACTATTAATCAATAAAAATAGCCTCCTGGTGTTTGGAAGTTGACAGAAAGGCTTCTGACAATTATTCATTTGTTTTTACTTTCACCGTCTGTTTTACTCAAATGAAGGTATTTTGAAAAGAGCTTCACTGTTTCTCGGCTCTGAAGCCAGAGAGGAACAAAAGAAAAAAGAAGGGTTTTCCATGGTCTCATGGCGTTTTTCTCTGCGGGGAGAAGGGGGCAGGGATGGCAACTTGGGAGGAGCAAGCTCAGGCTGGACATTGACTGTGCTGGGCGCTTTACTTACAGCCTCCTGAATTTCCCTTCATCTTCCCACCAACCCATTTCATAGATGGGAAAGCTGAGGCTTCTACAGGCTCTGCCTGGAGTCACAACCACTTTGCTCGTGAGCTGATGTGTACCCAGAGTCTGTGTATGCGCATGCACACACACTTGTCAGCACGTGCGCAAGTGAGCAAGCTGAGAGTGATCCTAGACTGGGAGTCAGATGACCTGGATTCTAGTCCCAACTCAGCCACCAAGTCATGTGTGACCCTAGGAAGCCTGAGACTCTCCAAGGCCCCTTCCCAGCCCTGGCACTTTAGAGTCACATGTGCCCTCGCCAGGAAGCACGGCACCTTAGCAGCCCAGGCTGCCTTCTGATGCCCCTCCTTGCCTCCCACTGCATGGATGCTCTCTCACTCCCCTAAAGCCGACCTACTCACGCGGGGCACCCAGGAGCGGCCAGAAAAGTCTTAGCCACCCTAGTGCCTTCTGCTCTTCCCCCTTACCCCTTTGACTACCTCCCTGCAAGAAGCATTAGGGATGGGACTGGGCCCCCTGGGGGGCTACCGAGCCCAGGGGCCAGGGGCTCACTTGGGACTGAGTGCCAGCCGCCCCCCGCCCCACTCACCTGCTGCGCCTCCTGGGGCCAATGACTCAACCTCCCTGAGCTTGAGTCTCGCCTCCACCGGTGCCACTGACAGAGTCAGCCTCCCAGGGTTGCTATGAGAACAGCAGTAAAGAAGGGCCTGGCCCGTGGTAAGTGCTCACTAAACTGTGGTGTCAGTGATTAATATTCATTTCTTCCTGGAGGTGGAGGGTCTTTGAAGCTGCTGTTTCTGATGACAATTATGTGCTGCTTGAAGGCACAACCTGAGGGGCCTTGGAAGGCAGGAACCCCACCCTGAAGCCCCTTGCTCCAGCCGTGGGCGCGAAGGATGGGTGCGCTCTGCAGGCACACGAAGGCTCCCCGAGCTGTCCCCATGCCCACTTGGCCGGGGCCCTGCCAGTGGGGGAGGGGTCCCTCCCAGTGCCTGATGGGATGGAGCAGCGTCAGACCCCAGCACCCGGAAGGGGGTGCTGCACCTGAGGGGCGCAGGGAGCGGGCACTCACCAAGCAGCTGCACGCCCCGCGTGAGGCCGTAGACGTCCACCAGGGCCCAGAGCGGGTCGGCCGTGCGGACCCCATTGAAGAAGAGCATGGCAGCTGAGTCGTTGATGCGGTAGAACACACGGCCCTTCTTGTCCACCCAGAAAGCGATGATGTTGCCCTCGTTGGCAAACTCCTCAGGCAGCGCCTTGGCCCAGAAGCCGCTCTGGGACACCAGGTCGGGGCAGGCGTACTTGGGCAGCGAGTCAGGGTGGATGCGGGACGGGTCCTTGCTTGTGAAGCCCAGCCGCAGCGCCCCACTCCAGCAGCACTGCTTCTTGGTGATCTGGATGGGAAAGAGAGCCTCAGAGGGTACTGTCCAGCCCCGGCCGGCAGGGAGGGAGTGCGTCCTTCCCAGCAGACCGCCACGCCCCTCCCCACAGACTCCCCTGGGGAGTCACACTTTCTCTCCCCTGAGAGCCTTCCCACCGCCTGGTGACAGCTCATTGTGGTCCCCATGGCCACAGCCCTCCCCCATCCCTTCTTTGTCCCACAGGAGGAAGAGGGCAGAGCATGAGGAGGGGTGAGGAAGGGCAGAAGTGGCAGCACAAGAGAAGGGCAGGGTGCCAGAAGGGCCGGAACAGAGGGCAGTGCGGAGCCCTGGGGACGCGCAAGGAGCAGCGAGGGAGGCCCCACCTTCAGCCTGACTTGCTCGTAGATGAGGACTGGGCGGTTGCTGAAGGTGATGGCATTGCAGAAGCTGGCCTGCCTCTTGACGGCCTTGTGGCTGAGGTCCATGAGGATCTGGGAGCCCTTGGTGTGCGGGTGGAAGAGCAGCGGCGTGGCCGGGGGCCCCCCGCCAGGCAGCACCGGAGGGCAGTGCTTCTGCTTGTGGTGGCATCGGTGAGAGGTGACAGGGAAGGGGCCGCCGATGGAGTCTGCAAAGGAATGAGCCATGAGGTCAGAGTGTGGCAGAGAGCCCTGGAGCGGCAGAGAGCTGGGCGCGGCGCAAGGCCCAGGACGTCCACCACCATCACAACTGGCCCCCGTCTCTTGCCGTGCCCCGCTTCACCACCTACCACCGTGCAGCATCCATCACCATTGGCACTGGTCCCCCACCCATCACCTCCCACCACAGGACTACCAGCTGCGGCCACTCACCAGTATTTCCCACCATCTACCCTCCACCGGCCCCCCTTTGTGATAAGTCAGCATTTACTGCCCACACCCACCACCATGCCCTGCCACTCACCACCACCATCATTTATTTTATTCAACAAATATTCATGATGCATCCACTGAATACCAAGCCCGGCCCTCGGCAGTGGGCATAGAGGCATGAAGCATACATGGATCCGTTCTCAAGAAGACAACAGTCCAGCAAAGGAAGGAGGACATACCCAGGAATCACAACAAAAATGGCAGACATGGATTAGTGCCCAAAGGATGGGACGGCAGGTCCCTTCCCAGGAAAGCCTCCTGGAGGAAGGGAGAGGAGGAGAGGGCATGGTTGCTGGACTGACAAGGCTGAGCTGCCAGGAACAGGTGACCTTGGAGCTGCCCTTGGAGACCAGCAGGGCGGGTGGGGCAGCCTCTGCAGCTTCAGCCCCAGGAGCACGCCCACCGCTTCCCTCCTTCAGGGCCACCCCCCTCCACCTCCGGCCACCTTCCTGCTTTGCACCCCCCATACCCACATCTTCCACGCAGGTGGGCCTCCACACCCGGAACTTGGATCTGCCTCAGGAGCGTCTGGCGGGGGGTCACGCTGCTTTCTTCTTCAGATAGCTCTACCGTACCCCCAAATAGGACAGAGTACAGGACAGGGCGTGGTCCGGGGGAAGGCACGTTACAAGCATGTGGGGTTGGTGTCCAGGAGACGGGGCAGAGAGAGGAAAGAACATGGCCGAGGTGTCAGGCGGTTTGCGTGTCTGTCACTCATTGGCTGTGTGACCTTAGGGAAGTCACTTCCCTGCTTCAGCACAAGCGGTGGCTGGAGCCCTAAGACATGGCTCGGCAGCACTGGTAGTGTTAATGCAGTCTTGGCAGCTGGGGACAAGGAGAGGTGTTCATTTCCTCCCCAAGATCTGTGTCCTGTCCATCAGGAAGGGCAGCCCCTGCCCTGTGCCATCAACTTGAGGAAAGAGACATGGAGGATGGGGAAGATGGGGTTGAGGAAGTAGAAAACCACAGAACGTGACAGAGGCCTTCTGGAATGTGTCAAAGTTTGGTTCCTCCAAGGCGGTGACTTAATAATGCAGAAAGCACAATCAGTATCAGGCCTGCTCAGAGGTCTTCCACTCCCTGAAGAGGAGGAGAGTTTCCCAGGGAGGAGAGGAAGACAGGAAGGGAGGAGGAATGTCCTGGGCTGGGAAGACCCAGACCTTAGTCCAGGCCATGTTTACATAACTTTGCATCACTTTGCATCTTTGCTTCCTTCTTCCCAAAGGGCCCCAGACACCAGTGTCCATGGTCCATGACCAGCCAGACATCCTGTGTGTGGGAGGCGGGGTTGGAACAGGAGGAGTTCCCCTTGCTCTCACCAAGGAGAAAAGACTGGAATCACAGAACAGTACTCAAGGCCTTTAAAGCCACCAAGCAATGAAGGCTGGAATTGCCCAGAGGAGACCCAGTCAGTCTGGGAAGGATACCTGGAAGAGGCTGAGTGGTCCCTGGATAGTGCAGAGCCAAGGAGGTCATTCCAGGGAAGGGAATGGTTGGGGTGAAGGGCAAAGGGTGGCCAAAGGGAACCTACAGGTGCCCTGCCTGGGAGAGGTGCCCTTTGGGATCAGGCCAGCCTCAGGCGCAGCTTGACTGCTGGTTTAAAAAAATATCTGCTGGGTAAATGGATTAGAGATTGTGGTACGGCTATACAATGGAATATTACTCATCAGTAAACAAGGAATGAACTACTGATATGAGTGGCAACATGGATGAATTTCAGAATAATTATGCTGAGTGAAATAAGCCAGTTTTTAAAAAATAAGCAAACGTAATCCATGGAGTAACTGCAGGGCCTCTGTTCCTTTCAACCCCCCCTTCCTGCCTACACTCTGTCCCATTTGTCCAGATCTAGGAAATGCACACTAAGAGCTAGTGATAACAAGTAGATTGAAGTCACCTGGGGATGGTGGGGGAGAGAGGGAGGGATTGCCAAGGGGCACAAGGGAATGTTTGGGATGATGGATATGTTCACCATCTGGATCATGGTGACAATTTCATGGGTGTATACATATGTAAAAACCAACCCAATTGTACACTCTGAACACATGTGGTTGAGCGTATGTCAATACACCTCAATAAAGCAGTTTTTTAAACCTGCTGAGCCCAGCAGCTGATTACAGCCTCTCCCATGGGACTCTTCCCCAACTTCCACTCGGAATCCATGGACCAACCGCAGGACCTCAGCTTCCTTCAAAATGCTTCCTCTCCTTCCCACCCATCCTGGGTGGGGTCCTAGCGTCCTGCATGAAGACCCAGAGAACACCGGCTCTGGGCAAACATGGTGGAGACACCCAGGGGCCAGAGACCCAGGCCCTGGCAAGACCATTCCCCCAGCGCTCCCTTCCACAGGCAAGGATAGCACAGGCCCAGCCACCCTGGCTGACAGCAAAACAGATGGAGAAGGAAGATTAGGGAAACCCTGGACCCTGGGGACACAATGGACACTCAGACATGTGGCCTCAAAAAGGCACATTCATCGGCACACACAGACACCTATGGGCACATGAAGGTACTCCAGACCCTAGGAGACATAGACTTAGCCCTTCCCTCATCCCTTGGGCCAGGAATCACACATTTACACACGTACTGTGCACACACACATACTCATGTCCACGGGGATGAACGAAACAGCACACATAAGACGCACGCCCAGCACACATGGGCCACACACATCTAATAATAATGGCAGCCATTTCTCAAATGCTGCTGCAGGCCCAGCCCCGAACGGGGAGTTGACGTGCACTCACCGGTTTCAGCCTCACGGCAAACTCTTAACACGGACAGAGGGACATCACCAGCCTATACGATTGGTGGAGGACCTAAGCCGTGGAGACACTGAGTGGCTTGCCCACGGTCACCCGGCCGGCACAGAGAGGCTCCAGCAGTCGAATGCAGCAGTCCCGCGGCACGGCCTGCAGCTTAGCCACGAAGTGTGGATAGCCAAGACAGCATGGCTTTGGTGTGCTGGACACATTCTTCTAAATGCGCATTAAAATAGACTCGCGACTGGTAAAACCTGGGGGGGGGGGGCATGTTCCTCCACGTGCCGTGTAAAACCATTTCGAGTAGCACACTGGCGGAGACGCGGCATTCTGCCACGCCGCTTTCACGATACACGCGTGTGGCCGCCAACACACAGAAGCACAAACCGTGCTGCCCACGTTACCCTCCTCCCCCGACACGGCTGGGTATGAAATGTGGTGCGTGAGCACAAGGCATCCCACTCTGCGACCTCAGTGAACGAGCTGTGACATAACGAGGGGGAACCTCAGAACCATGCTGAGTGAAAGAAGCCAGCCTCAAAGCCTACCTACGCTCTGATGCCATTTGTAGGACATTCTGGAACAGGCAAAACTACAGAGCTTGAACGCTCCGTGGGAACTGGAGTTTGGGGAAGAGGATGACACGGGGGCACAAAGGGAGCTTTTATGGCGATGGAAATGTTCTTTATTTTAACCGTGGCAGTGCTCCCACAGTTTACACATTTGTCGGGATGCCCCAAACTGTACACTTAAAAAAGATGGGTTTTATTGTCTACAAATAATTCCTCAAAAGCAACAACAACAACTCACAAACCAGGTCTCCACGGAGATGGAGGAAAGTGAGGCTGGAATCCCTGACCACCACAGCCCCCGTCAACCCACGGCCGGCAGTGCCCAGGAGGGGGACCATTTAACAGGAGACCCCGAAGCCTGGTTGGGCTTGCCACTCTCAGCCTCAAGCTTCTGAAGCGGGTGTGAGGGGAGCGTTTTGGCAGCTACAGAGCACCTTCACTGACTCCTGGACCTGCGAAATCTCGTGCCTGCCTCCTCCTGCCCACAGTGTGGCTCCCGAGGCTGTCCCTGGAGCTGTCCTCAGCCCCTTCTCTCTGCACTCAGCTCTGAATAATCAATGCCCACCGAGCCACCTCTGTGGAGATGACCTGAAAACCCTCTCTGGCCTTCTGGGCATCTCGAGTGACCATGGTCACCTGCCACTTGGCAGGCCCCCAGCTGAGCTCCTGACCCTAGCCCACCAACCGCCCACGTTCCCAGGCCCCAGTGGAATCACTGAGCACCCCACATCCAACCAGCCAATCCCACCTGAGAAATAAACCTGCCTGGGCTCTGCCCGCTCCCGTCCTCCCCGCCTCAACCCAAGGCCCTGGCCGGGCCTCAACACTTCTCCTTAAACAAGGGCCAGGGCCACCGCTTAAAGCCACGAAGGCTCTCCCTGCCTGCCTCCAGGGGGCGCCATTCACACAGACTACAAAAGGAATGGTGCCCTCTGAGGCATCCAACATGGTGGTCCTCACCAGGATGTTTGCTGCCTCCCCAACCCCTGCTGTCTTTGCCCACCATCTTCCTGCTCCACCTTGGCTTGCATTATGGTCTGGGGGGAGGGAGGAGAGAAAGCAGGATGAGAATTAACCCTGAGCACAGCTCTGATATCAAGGGCCAGAGGGGCGGCTGGGGGCAAAGCTTCTTCCCTACACCATCCAAAAGGGCTCTCTCCCTGCACTTCAACAGACACTTTGACCCTCGAGGTCTCCATTCTATGGATGAGTTACGATTCAGACTGGTTAACCAACTTGCTTGAACTCACACAGCAATTAAGTGGCAGAGCTGGGACTTGAACCCTCATCTTCCAATGCTGCTACCCTACTCAGCCTCTAATACTGGAGCCCATTTTCCCCATGAGTCCAAGATGGCAGGCATAGTGGGGAAAGGCTGCGTGG